ACCCTGCTTGAGCAGGGAGGTTGGACTAGATGATCTCCAGAGGTCCCTTCCAACCTAAACGATTCTGTGATTCTGTGATTCTGTGATTCTGTAATGGTAAGGAAAACTAAAGGCGGGGAGCGAGGCACTGATTACTCATTCTGGAATCGGTGGCACCATTTGCTGTGGTTTTGGCCACGTGGGCAGCCCACTGCCCCGGCAATCTGCTGCCCACGTCCACTCAGTTTCCACATGGAGGTTCTTCTCAGCCCGACTTTTCAATTGACTGTGACGTTTATAAAGAGGGAAGAGGGCAACACCTGCATTCGCTGCTCAGGGAGTGGGTGCACTGTGTATTTAGACAATTATGGAAAGTTGCTTTCTATTTGTTCTGAAACTCTTTTCTAATAATTTCAAGAGTTGTGTTGTTTCTGTGGTAGTCTAAGGGTATAAAACAGCCAGTGGTTGCAGGGAAAGGCAGTATCTTTTATATATCTTTTAGATCAGCTGGTTAAACTGGGAAAACACAGACAAGTTCAGGACAAACATTTCTTTTATTATTCGTGTTGCCTCTTGGATTTTAGACAAGCTTTCTGCCTTTGCAAATTCATCATAAGAAGTAAAAATTCCCTTTCCCGCAAAAGCACAGAGAGTTGACAAAACCTTACACTATGCTTCCACAGTCATCTCCCCTTCAAGAGAGATGTTGAACTGCATTCGTTCTGCATATTTTTTTCCCAGATATTGGACACAGCTCATCCCAAATGTATTTATGTAAAACAGAGGAAACCAACACAGTGTTACTCACCAGCATCTACTTAGGCAAACAGAAATGTTCAGTGGAATGGAAGAACATTTTTCACAAAAGGACAGCTCAGTCTCTGACATTGCAGTTCATATTCTCAAGGGCACATAAAGATGGGAACTAATGTTCGTAGTCCTACTGGACAGCAAAATCATGTATTTAGTAGAGACGCTGTTTCTATGGCTAATTGCAGCCTTCCTCTCATCACAGTTCTTGTTGAGCCTTTCTCTGTCCCAGCACCCATCTTCCGCTGAGGGTAATATACAAGTCATTTCTCCATTTGCTATCACATTTTTCTGCTTTGCAGGTGTTATCATTGGGGTTTTTTGATTTTTTTTGTTTTTTTCTCTCCCTTTCTCTCTCTGTCTGTCTCTCAATACCTACTTGATTATTTTAACAATGTTAAACTAAGAATACAGCACAGCTGTGCTGATTTAATGGGAAGCCATCAATGAAAAGGGTGGTCTTTCTGCTTTTCTTGTACCAGCATCAGTGCTCCTCTGTCCCCAGGGTGAGCAACCGGAAAGTTAATCTCAATTGAAAAATGGTTTCCCACAAGCCTGCCTCTGTGCATCTGCTCACAGGTCAGACAAGTGCCAATCCTGATGCAAAAGCAGGAGAGGGAATGTATATCTCTGGTTGACTGGTGAGGGAGAGAGGGAGAGCAAGTATAGCATTGAAGGTTATGTGAGCAAACTTACCTCTCAGGTTCAGCTAATGCTTCAAGCTGCATAACCAGCATTGCTACTAAAAGAAGTAGCCACCCACTCCTATCTTTGTATCTCCTCGTTTCTACTGGCAGAGCTACTTGTGGAGCTGTGTAGTTGGCCTCAAATAGGGAAATGATCTGGCTTTAAAAATTAACCCTGGAAAGATGATCCTTTTCAGCCAGATGCTTCCTAATCTAGTTTTATTGTGTGGCTGCATCAGTGCTTGTGCCAGAAGGATTAGCACAGAGTGGAAGTGAGCAGTCGGAAGTGAACCGGAGAAAGCAGATCTGCTTCTTTTTGATGGCCATACTAGCTTAGGGTAGCAAACGAAACATTCCCAGAGCCATTCCCCGACTGACACATTGCAATTTGCATACACTCATCCTTTTAAAATAGTCCTTTCAAACTAATATATGGGGAATGCAGACTCTGAAACCCTGCCCAGCAGCCCCAGGGAGAACACAAACCGGCACGGGCCGGACTGTGCAAGGGAGCCCGCTAACATTTAAAGACTACTGAGCGTTAAATCTCTGCTCTGACCCGGTGTGACTCACCGGTATAGACATATCCTGTGACTTCCTTTCTCTTCAGCAGCTAAAATTATCTGTAGCCTAGTACTGTGTAGGCTGAGTGATTTCCTCCCCGCCCATATATAATTATTTTATATTGATCAACACTGAATTTCATTGGCTATTTTATTGCACAGATCTTTATGGTAGCTTCCCTTCACAGTGAAAACTGACTACTAGTACCCGCTGTTCTGTGTTTTAACCAGCTTTTCTTCCATGAAAGGATCCTTCCTTGTTTTCTTAGCTAGTGTAGTCTTCTCAAGGGCCTCTTCTGAAAGAATTTAATGAAAACATATTGAAAAGTTCACTCTGATTCACATGCCCGTTGGCTTCTTTGTAACAGACTGAGGCATGTTTATAGAGGCAGTATTGGCTCTTCCCCATTATATCTGTTTTAGTCTCATGTCTAAATAACTATTCCTTAGTACAGTTTCTTCCAAAGCTCCTGAGCTGCTGTTCCCAATGTTACCCCGAGTTCTTATCTTCAGATTTGCGTTACGTCCTTGGCACTTGCCGGTTCTCGGACACTGTGGCCAGTTGGAATGGAAAGACTGCTCACCACAAGTTTCAGACCAGCAGCTTCTCCTTTCCGTTATTTTAAACCTGGGGACTCCTTGTTGATCACTTTATTAATGTGTTCTGAGACACCTTCTGCTGACGCTCCATTTTGAGACAGTTTCTCGGATTCGCTGCCTGTAAGGAGCAGCTGTGAGGTGGAATCTCCTTAGCTTCGACATCTAAATGAAAACCTATGTTTAATTTTTCTGCAGTGGTCTTATCTACTTGAGTCCTCCTATCACTCTGACCCTTCCCTGAATCCCACAGGATTCGTCTCACCTATGTAGAGACACCGACATTATAGACAGCTCCTCAGGAACTGCTCATCTTGAATTTCTGTCTATTCAGTGATGAGAATTAGGTCATCTCACTCTGAGGCAAATGTCGAAAATAGACCAGATGAGTGTCCCACTAGAATTTTCAGATTCTTTGTTCCTTCGTGTCTTTGCATATATTTAAGTCCCTGCCCACTCTTCATTTGCTTATTATCTGTAAATATCCTATCGTAACATAGAAATACTTGAAAATTTTCGGCTTTTTCACTTACTCGATATGGCAAGCCAGATCTTTGGGGTACAGGATCTGCATTATGAGATGCTAAGACCCATTTTACTTTCAGAATAATATTATCTTTGTGTCAGAAGAGCTAGAATATTTCTTTTGTAGTGCATTTGAGATCTGCATTCTCTCTGTACTAGTATATATAGCAGCACAAGAATAATTCATCACTAAGGATTTAATGGTGCGGATGATTGTTTTTGTAATTAAAATATCTAAACAGTATCCAGCCCTCATCAACCAATTCAAAGGCAGCCTGAGTGGATTGGTTTCTGTGCATTTAGCACATGATTTTCTTCTTATTATTTTTTCATCTTGCAATTTTTTGGCAGGTACATTCTTCATTTCACCGGTTTTTGCCATGACTGGTTTTTGAAAGCTTTCAAAATCATTTTAATACGATCCCGTTGCAACTTTCTACTCTATCTTTGACTGTGATCTCAACAAGTTATCTATGAATAACATTTAAAGCTGCGATAGCAACTTTCCAGTCAGAAGGACTACCTTCATTTTTGGTGTGAACAACTAGTGACTGCGAAGAATACTAAAAGACATTTGCAGGTTTTTGTAGAGTAAGATTGTCATCATAATTATGTTCTCCTGGTCAATAACTTAGTCTTCATTGGGGCCCCAGGATACCATTAAACCACTGGGCTGCACTGAAATGGATCTTGATTAATATCAGCTCAAATGAGATAGTCAAGCCAGTAAAGTCTTTGATGTTGAAATAATGCCCTGGAATTTACCACAAAACATTAACAACACGGAAAAGAAATATAGTGAGCTCCACAAAAATGCAGTTTTATGCATTTGTAAACATCTAATTTAATGAAATTAGAGCTGCAGAAATATTGATATTCCAAGAATATTATGCATTTCATATATAGTTCCAGTTATTATTATTGCTGGGGATGCCCAGAAACCTTTATGAAAACAAAGAGAAAGAAAGATAAATGATTATTATTTTTAAGCAGTGTAAAATAAAAAAAAATATATACCTGTCTGGACAATTTTTGATAATCTTAAAATATTTTCAGTTTAAAAATATCTCTTGTTATTCTAAAAACATTTGCCATGTCCATATTAAGAGGAGAAAGTATGTGTTATGTTAAACTGAAGGCATCTTATTATCAGTAGACTGCTTTTTCTTGTACTACTCTTCTTACGAAGCTGATTGCATGACATATGTTAAAGTTGGTAAAAGTTAGGATCTTCCAGAAATGTCCATTATTGTAACAGAAATTCTACGCTTTAGATAAATAAGATGGCATGTTAAGTTACAAAACTGTAAAATGTGTCCATAATGGATTTGAATTGTGGAACGAATTCTGCCAAAGCCTGAGAGTAAATAAACAAACCTTCCGTTGTTTAAGGGCACTTGACATCTTTTTTTTTTACCTGCCCCCAGTTGGGGCCTTGTAACTTTGATGAAGTCTATGTCACAGCGCATGCTTCCGGTTTGATTTCTGTTGGAACTGGAATTGTACTTGAGTGGCCAAATAGGCAAGGGGAAACCCAACAATAGCCTTGTAGGAGTGATGTACTGTGCTTATTTTGTCTCTTAAACCTGTACTCCAGCAGGACAAATGCCTATTGTTTCTTTACCTCTGTGTCCTCTTGTAACAGAATGAATATTACTGTAGGTTAGACTTCCTGTGGAAGAACAAGTTCAAAAAAGAGCGGGAGGAGATTGAAACGATGGAGAATCTAAATCGGGTGCTGCTGGAGAACGTGCTTCCAGCCCACGTGGCAGAACACTTCTTGGCAAGAAACCTGAAGAACGAGGTCAGCCAACTCTATATATCCTCTGCTTTGTAGGAAAGCCGCGTGTCCTGGAAATGCCTCTTAGTGCTGGTTTGAACGGGAGGCCCATCCAGTGAGACTGTAGATTGACATTTGTTTTCATTCCCCCTTACCTACATGGAAGGCTTGTTTTACGGTGCTGAGCGCACCTTAGCAGCTTGCAGTCAAAAGTGTGAGCTTATTTTAAGTGTTAATGCACTTTGCCTTTGGGAGGAAGGAAAAGGGGGGAAAGGAAGAAGAAAGGGATGGTTGAATGAACTTACATTTAAATTTAAATCATAAGCATCCAGATACTTTTTCCTTGGCGATCGGACTGGAGCTGCATCCGGGTTCTGAATTTGCTTTTGGTGACTGGAGACCTTGCTTGCTGAAGGAAAATTAGCCTGTTCCCTGAAAGAGAGGCTGTGTTAATTCTGAAAATAGGTTCCCCAGCACTGAAATACCTGTTTACTCCCTGCTTATGCACCTGTTCTAAGCACCAGAGAGGTCAACCAGGAGACCCCTGTTGGCTTTGGTGGAAAGCAAATCTGCTTTTAAGATCACTTCATAGTTTAATAAGGCGAAGAAGGATGGGGGGAAAAAAACATATATAGAGAGTGGCAGTTTCTAGAGATCTTAAATGGAGTAGTTTGAGTTACTTGTGTGTATAGAGCAATGATTCAAATTGTTCAAAACTGACAAGAGGAGAGAGGGCAGCTTTTAGGGATTCATTTCTGAGTTCCTGAATCAAAAGGGGCAATGTTTTCCCTTTCACTTTGGTTTGCATTAAGCAGTACTATAAAGTCCTTTACAGCAGTACTTTAGTACTACCTGGAAATATTTATTTAGTAGCTGACATCAAATAAAAACAGCTGTGAGGTTCCTGTGAATCCAGCGAAGGCATTGGCTGAAGGCCAGGTTTGCCCAGCTCCAATTATCATTCCCAGTATTAAACACAGCAAACCACGAAGAGACTGCTTTCTCATTTATGTGCTATTGCATCGCTGCTCCCCAGCAGAGCAGCACCATCTGCTCACCTTTGTGTTGGCAGCTGAACTGATATTCTCACCTCTCAAGATTCTTAGGTTGGAATGAGCTTTGGTAAATTTACTGAAGAAATTGCAATGTGCTGAGCTCTCCGATCTATCATGTCAGCCGAAGTAAGAATGATTTGTTATGATTTCAGTGGCATTCCTTTTTTTTAAAAAAAAAAAAAGCTTCTTTCTTTTTTTTGTTTGTTTATCTTTAAACATGGTTTTCAAAGAGGATCTTTCAAAGGATCTTTCAAATCCTTGGAAATGTTCAGGAATATGAACATATGTCACGTCTTCAGATTTGTTACAATGTCAGTAAGGATGTGCTGAGTCTCTGAAGACGTTCTGCCTGTATGTACGTGGCTTCACCAAAAATTATTTTAAAACAGGACAGATGAAACCTCTGTATTCTCTCTGTGAAAATTTTAGGTGAATCAGATACCGTATTAAAATTTGTGTGTCTGTCTCTTTCTTTGTGGCAAGCATTCATGCTAATGTGATTTTGCATGTATTCCATGTCTGTTCAATTTAATTTAATGAATGAACAGTCTGTTTCAGAATACTGCTTTTCTTCGAATTTTGTGCACGCATGCAACTGTATGAAAGAAAGGGAAGAAAAAGTATAATGCTGAAGTATTGGCAGGAGGAATGAAAAGGGAAAAAATGGGTGGATGAATGCTAAGTGGGAGTAGTGGGACTATACTTTTAAAAGACCAAGAAGGTTCTTTTCATAGCAGGGCACATCACTGACTAACGCTGATATGGTAGAAGTAAAATCACTTCAGATAAGTGGCTCTAAAGCTTTGTTTGTGTTATTACAACCTCCAGAATTGTGTTTCTGCTTGCAATCTGCATGGTGGGTGCCAGTCGAGAGAGAGAAAAATAACAACCAAGATTAAATGGAAGACCGGAAACAGGGCCAGGATTAAATACATTCTCTTTGCATGCCTTGCACACCCTTTTGCTATATTGTATTAGAATCCAGATCCCCTATTACTGAAGAGCAGTCAGGAACATTTGTGCTGCGAGCTGACTTGCAGGCACATTGCGGAGTTAAGTACCTACAAGAGGAATCCTGCTTCATCCTGCAGGAACCAGCGCCTTATCCACAGCAGAAATTCTGCCCCAAAGTGGTGGGACCATCCTCAAAAGGTCTCCAGGCACTGGAGAAGAAGGGAACATAGGAGACAGTAAGGAGAGCCAACCAGCATAGATTTAGATGTCATGAAAGGAAAAAACAAAGGGGGATTGACTGCAGAGGGGAGGATGATTTAATTTTTGGTGAAAGAAGTGGCGCCATTCCTTCCTTCCCCATTTCTCACTAGTGTCTCTCTGATCGTTAGCGGGTAAATCCCATCTCCCCATCCTTTGTAGGTACTGGGAAAGAACACAGCTGCTCTCCGAGACTGGTAGAAGTGGAAAGGCAAGCTTGTTCAACAGCTTTTATTCTGAGTTAAAGAAGAGAGATACAGGTGGAACACAGGGAAACTGTTGTTGTTGCATTTAACTTTCACATTTCTGAGAGTACCGTTTCAAGAGAACTATTCACAGGAAAATTAAGACACCTGATTGCTGCAGGCATTATTATAAGCATGAGCAAAATAAATTAACTACCTAGGAATACTTGTCTTGTTATAAATGACACCATTTGTTGTTTCTAGGTTGGTACTATGCTATACAGCAGTAGTAGGGATGGATGCTGCCCTAATATGAAAGAGGAAGGGAGAGAGATGCAGACGCGGTTGTCAGCTTCAGCACGTGGCAGGTGTTCACATCCACTTTTGTTGATTTATTTTTGAGGTGGAGGAAAGGAAGGAGTAATAGCACGAATCTGTAGAGAAGGGAACTTTGTACCTGGAAGTGTAGCAGTCAGGCGTGCAACCCTTTCCCACCGGTTATTTGGCCCGTACTGGATGGACAGCCAACGGCGTGAAGAATATTGATCCTCCCTGATGGCCTTAACAACAGTTTTATCTGGACCTCTGCTCCTGTCTCTTGTCTAGTCTTATTCTCTCCCTGATGGCTGTGCATGGCGCCAGTTGCCCTGATTTCTTCTGGGCAACATTTCCGCTGTCAGGGAAGACAGCAAACACCCTTCCTAATAGCTAATGCCATCTGGGCTCCGCGTTTGCTGTCTGTAGGACAGATGGCTCTTCTGTGCATCCATCAGCCTCCCGTCAGGTCAACTGTGGGACTCGGCAGTATCCAGCACTAGATACTTCAGTAGAGGTTCAAGGGCACTTCATGTTGCTATTCATCCTTTGTACTTTTCCCCATAAATTTAAAGGCATATTTAACTTCTGAAAATGCTTTTTATAGACTTCCTAGCTATGCATTTTTCTGGTTATTCACATAGGCATTCAGGTTTTTAACCCTTTAAGCTCTCGTCTTTAATGTTGTTGAACAGCACTAAGTCACACAAGGTTTATGTATTCTTATGTAAAATGTATTTCCTTATTCGACTTTTAAATGTCCTGTTTATCTTCTGGTTCCTGTATTATGAGTTGCTAAAATGAGTGCATCTTTCTACTATCTCTGCTTCGTGTTATTTGATAATATGTATACCTTTATGATGTCTCTGCAGCACTGCATAAATTGGTCTCCTTTTCTTATCAGGATTCAGTTGTAGTACCTAACAGATCTGTGGTCTTACAACTTGAATTTATATTCTGAAAAATACCTTTTCCTGAAGAGGATGTTTATTGGTGTTAAATTCCATGTGCTATTTCAGATATGGCACTCCCCCGGTATTACCTCTGTGCCTAGATTTTGTCTTTTTCATGAACTTTGCAACCCATATCTCATCAGCAAGTTAATTCTGTCATGTTTTCCATTCACAGGATGCAAAATCAGGAGAATTCAAAACAGTAAATAAAACAGAAAGCTGCCATCTAATGTTTATGTGGTGATTTAAAGTAACATTTTCTTATTGATTAACAGAATCTAGGAGGATAGCGTTATGAATTAATATTAATGATAGCATTACTGTTAATTTGGCAACCTAGTGGATTTTTCAAGGTAGTAGGAAGAGGAGCAAAATTTTTTTGGAAGAATATGTGATCACATATGTATGCAACTTGTTTGTTTTGTCAGCTCGAGTTTCAAAAATGTGTAGTAATGCATGTTTTGAGTATTAATTATCTAGATTTTGCTATAAATACTCTTATTTCTCCTTCTAGTCTTTTCTGCAACAATTTGAGCTTCACCTTCCATATTACTTCCATATTTTTGTGCAGTCCTTCACGTCTTTTTGTAATCAGCACTGTGTGCGGCCTGAATTCTTTAACCCAAAACCGAAATCAAGTTATAATGAAGGTGATGAGAAAATCGAAGGAAAATTGATATAGCCACAGAACATAATCTCTGTGCCTGTTCTGCGAAGATGTCTGTGAAGAGCAGTCAGCACATCAAACCTTAACTTTTGAGTATAGTTATACCACAAATGTTGCTGTAGCTTCAGTGTAGACATAGCTGAGGTCATTTTGAAATTGGTGGATGTGAAGCAAAATGCAGGCTACAAAAGTTAAATATTTGAGGGGCAAGCCCATGCAAAGCCCCTTATCCTTGCAGCTAGGTTCCAACTGCTCCACTTAACTAATTTCAAGCTAGCTTAAGTAAGTCTGCCCCAAGTGTAGGGA